ACTACTTGGTGGTTTTAATTTTGTGGCTGATCAGTCTATCCCTGCGTTCCATTCGGAAGGGCTCATCCCTATGCCCTAATCCCTTCAAAGGATTTACCCTCTGGAGTGAGAGCTTCGAAGGGTTGAAGGGGACCAAACAACTTTCTTGAAGTACCCTTCTGCGTCATCATCTCGTACCCACACGGAGGCGCCGTCATCATGCAAAGAATCTGTGCAAAGGATCATGGGAGCCCGAAGTGTCCATCAGTTGTACCCTTCGAAATCCTTCATTCCGAAGGGCCCTTTGAAGAGGCCAGTTTTGAGCACATCGGTTTGAAACGACCCTTCAATATGGTGGCCATGATTGTTTTCACTCTGAAGTGCCCTTCGGAGGGCGATATATCCCGTTTGGAACGCACCGTATGTATATGTGTTCCTTGTTTTTAGATGACTTCTGTAAGGGCATACAACAACACATAAAGACAAATGTTTGGGCTGATTTAATGATATGCTGAAGTGAACTGGTCTTTAGGTGTTTATGTAGAATCTTTTCAGCTTTTAAATTGATTAGGGAGATGCGTAAAGATCCCTGTATATTATAGCATTTTTTGGATTTAATCTAATCACTAGAACATTGCACAGGTGCCTTTCACTGTTATCGCAGCACACATACTGTGAGAAAACTAATTTTACATAAAACAGGCTTTAACTGCTTTGGGAAATAGACAGTCTTGGCAGGACGGAAAAGCGGTGTGAATGAGAGAACCATGAGATAATGACCATGCTGGCTATTAAAGTGATGTGCCTTCCTCAGGCAAGGTGAATCGGACTCATAACCCACCAATAACAACCGGCAGTGTTTCCCACGGAATGTCTGTTCTTAATATTCATGCACAATATGTAGAGTTTTGGTTAAAGAACAATGGATAAGGAAAATGGTTTAAAAATAGCATATCTTGCATACTCCTACACACTGGTCAGTACAACACTTAATAAACAAAGATAACGAGCATAGTATGGACTTAAATTCAACTTAAAAAACATAGCAGTTCCTCTTTGTTCGGTTTGATAGAATGATAGAATTGATATCTCATGATTTTGGTCATTCTGTGGTTGAGCGTCAGAGACAGTTGTGCTATTTGCTCAGGGCAGAGGTATTTGCGCGGAGGAAAATGTCACATGGACAATAAATCTATTTTGTGACATGCTTGTCTTTCGTCTTCCTCTCTGGAATACGGTGAAATTTGTTTTAGGATTGAACAACGATTTGCAGGTCTCTCAGTAATGTGTCTTTGCCACGATCCTGATATACGATCCATCTGATTTCTGCCGTTTCAGCTCCCCAGATTTACCTCAGAGAATCAGAGCCTGTTTTCCTTCTTCTAAGCCGATCCTGGATGCTCCTTTGTGGTAATTGCAAGTTAAACAGTCCTTTGCACTTTCCGTGTCAAAATTATGACCATCATCGTTTCAAAACTAATAACGACACATACATTTTCCAACACAAGCTTCTACAAAGAGAATTATAGTGCTGTGACAGCAGCAACGCTCGACAAGTAATGGATAGGGACACTCATAAAGGCATACTCATAAATGATCGAAATAGCTTTGGAAAATCTTCAGCTCTTTGGCTTATTCCACAATGATTTACCCTGAAAGTGTATCTATAATGACACACCAGCGAGTCCTTCTCTGACTTTTCACTTTCAGTAAATTAAAGACTTGATCAGTTCATTTTAAACTGTGTTATCGGCTAGTACAGGCCAGATCTTAGAACCTTGGCATACTTCTGGTTTGCATTGCCCACCTTGCCATTTAGCTGACACTTTTATCCAAACATCCAGTACATTTATTAGACGGTCAATCCCCCTGATGTCCTGAGGTTAATAGCTTTGCTCAAGGACGTAATGATGATGGCTCTTGGCAGGGTTCTGAACCTACAACCTTTTGGTTGCTAGCCAAGACTTTAACCACTAAGCTACACATCCCTTAAATTCAGCCTTTTCTAACTTCACTTAATTTTTTTCTTGCTGAACTGTATTCAGGGAAAACAACCACAGACCTTTAGTATAATGTGATATTATAGCCCTATTTGAGTTTTGAGGAACCATTCAAAATGGTCAGTAAGATATTTATTCATTTATCTACTCATAACTTTTGAATGGTAGTGATCATTATTGTTGAACTTTACAGTCATTGAATTACAAACTGAACTGACTTGAGCTGAACAATTACATTATTGTCTTTTTAGAGCTGCTTAACAGCAGAATTTCAATTTGCCTCATGTTTGATGAAGTTTGCATCATTGATTGTTATTTTCCTTATTACTCTGAAGCTGCTTGGAAAGAATCTGTATTGTCTAAAGTGCTATTGTCTCCATTTTCATGTCTTAAACTCAACTGACATAGATTATTGGATGTTCATCTTCACTCCCTGAAGCAAGTTTACATGTTTTAGCAGAGTTCTCAAGAGAAACTATAATGCTTTATTTTCTTCAATTATTAATTGTTTGTTTTCTATCTGTCACCATAATGCCATGCAGATGACAGTAATTATGCCGGTTTGACACTGTAATGTCAACTGTAATTGGGTACTTCTGGTATCCACCAACAGGTTGAGAAGAACTATGACAGAGTGTACGGTTTTCACGTGTCCTCTGGGTAATGGGGATTGTCTGGTGAGAATGAGAAACATAGAAGACGTAGATCTCAGTTTGGACAGCATCTGTGCGAGATGCATTTCTGTTTGATACTCCTGTTCAAAAGACTGATTTGACTGGGAATTCGCAGACAAACAGCTAAATATTGTTTGAACATGGCAGATGCTCATTAGAATCAGACATCAGATGTCTCTACCCTCCTCACATATGAACACGTCCTCCCCTCCGTCCAGGGTTAGTGATTGAGTGAATGGCTGAAAGTAAACATAGTGAATGTGTTTCATATTGAATACACCAAACTGCCGCCATCAGTCACGTCTGCTGGGGCTCTTCTGGGACAGTTTGTGTCTGGAAGCTGTCTTTGCATATGCCGTATCATTTTTTGCCATTCATCATTGGGATATTTGTCCAGTTTGGCATGCCCTGTTGTCTCCAGTTGTCTGAGATGGAACAATAGCATGGAATCAGATTGGTGTATGCCGTTTGGAACTTGCAGTAACTTCTTGAATTGTTTCACTGCTCATTTGCATACAGTTGAACTTTGCTTTGTCAAATGTGAACTGTCGCTCATTGCCTCATTATGATTTTCAGTCGCTTATATGCTACAAGATATCAGTGTGAACACCAGTTTACATATAAAGAAAGGAGACCAGAGTATGCCACATATTAGGAATGTCAGTTTTCAGGAATTTTCATGATTGATTGATTTAGTTTTTTTATTAAAATATTGATCGATCAATTGATTAAATTGCTAAACATGTACCAAATACCATATGCAACTTGTTTTTATGGGCATGTAGGTATTGCAATTTCGTTCTCTTATTAAATTTTCAATAAAATAATGATTTATTGGTAACACTTTACAATAAGGTTCCATTAGTTAACATTAAGATTAATAAGTAATGTAACAAATGGTTTGCTCATAATGCATTAAATATAGTTAAAAAATGGAACCTTATTGTAAAGTGTTACAGATTCATTTATATGTATTACATTTGTTACATATTATGTAATAATGTTATATTAAAATACATACATACATGAAATACATGTGTGTGTATACACATACATTTTATGTTATAGTATAACAATATTTATTATATAATTTAACAATTTATATAATATAATATAATATAATATAATAAATATTATGATTTATTATATAAAGTTTAATATAAATGTAATTATATTTAGGGATGTCAAAAACAATGCATTAATTGTGTGATTCATTTTTTTTTTTTTTTACGCTTTAAAAATGCATTTAATACAGACATCAGTAACAGTATTGGTATCAGTCATACCGACCTTCCTTAATAATAGGCTATTTAGTAAAAAATATGCCATTAAACACATATTTAAAATAATTAAACATATGTTTATTTTATGTAAAAATATATTTGTTGTTTCTGCATTCATTTGGAGATTCAATGGGAAATTATAACAATATAAATATATTGTATTAATATGTGATTAATCGCGATTAGTTACAGAAAAAATTGTGATTAATTCGTTCATTTTTTAATCAATTGACAGCACTAATTATATTATATTTAATATATTATAATTAAGTATAATTAGATTTATTTATTTACATTTTATATAAACAAGTCTATAAAACTATAAAATCAAATTTAAAATATGCTATATAAAATATAATTCTCTTTCTTTCTCTGTATATAAATAACTCCGTTTTTAAGCAAACGTAAACCATCACTTTTGTCGTTTTTGATTTTGATTTTAATACTAACATGTGCTTGTTGTCATTGAACTCTATCACAGTTTGTTGCAGTGAACATAATCATTATTTATAGAGATGCACTGTTGAATATGCCAAGACTGCTTCATTTTTATAATTTGAGGGTGTGTTGCGTGTGTCGCCCACTGCTTATATTACTTAACACCTTTCTGTTGATTCTGCTGAAATTGATCAACAATTAATAAACTGTTCTGACTTAAAGACTGATCTTTACAACACATCAGTCCACACACCTTGAAAGTAATAACTAAATTCAGTTCAGTGCTAATTTTCTCCATATATGCTGGAAAAGATTACTTGCCTTGGCATTTTAGCCTTGTAACTGTGAAGCCCTCAGACCTGAGTAATGACCAGCGGGAGCACAGCATCCATCCTTCAAAAGCTTTGACTCTTTAATATGCCGCTGTTAATAGAGCCTGCAGTCAGAAAAGGTCTGCCATGATGGGCATCTCAGCTCAGTAAACACTGGATTCTCCCATTTCTTCCCGCATCTTGTGGGTGCTTTTACTCTCCTAAAACAGATAGTTTTGAAATTGAAGTGCTGCTTCACTGCTTTATGTTGTTATTTCATGTGATTGTAATGTATTTTCTCTTTTTCTTCTATAGAAAAATGTGACGAAACACTGGTCACACCACTCCCCCACAATGCCTTCACCAGCTCCTCTGTGTTCACTAGTGGCTATGCACCTGGATACGCCAAGCTAAACAAAAGAGGAGGTAAATTTTCATAATACTAGCTCATACACATATTCATGTCCACCAATGTGACTTGCAGAATGAACAAACCCTTTTTCTTTCATCACAATACCTCTATGAACTTTCTTTGGCTGTTGTTTTTTTATGCAAACAGTATATTACAAACTTGATATAGTTTTGTGTCATTCCAATAAACATCCATACAGTATATGGCACCGCAGAGTCATTACTTCAATAACTCCAGCCTGGAATTATTGCGTGAATTACTGGGCTACAACTGCTCATCCCATTATGCCAGACTGTGGCAAACACTATGTGCTTAAGACTAATTGAGCGAAAATCTACAACAGATGTGACAACGCTGTGATTTATCTCGGTGAGATGTGCACAGTTCACATATTTATTATTTTCATTTTGTTCCTCTTCACTCATTAAAAATGTTATTTAATTAAAATGGAAGCTCTCGTGTCCTCGTAGGACGTATCTGAAGTTTAGTTTGGCATCTTTGATGGAACGAGATAATGTTTTTATTTATTTTACGAGGGAGAAAGCAGAAAGAAATAAACCACTGCTAATTGTGCGTCAAAAGCATTTTTTGTTGTTGTTTTGTTTAGTTTTTTTGCTGTGATAGGCTCTCAAGGGAGAACAAATTCAGATCCAAATGGATGTTTTATATATGAGCCTCGCTGTGGGAGTCTGTGGAGGCCATGGGTCTGATTTTAAAGGCTTTAAATTGTATGTTATTTCCAAGCTCAATGAGTCACTGGGCTCTATTATGTACACAAAATACTGTGATATTAATCGCTACTGTAACTATGCCTCATATTACAAATCCTTCTAAGAGTCACAGTGTAAGCTCTATACAAATCTTTCTTCCCTGAGGAAATTCAGTATTGCCTTTGCATGAATAAATTGGTGTCCATGGCATGTCTATATGCATATTTTTAGTTGTTTATTCTGTCAAGCAGAGCTCATGTAGCCTACATATGTGGCAGTTTACCTCAAAGGAACAGTTCACAGTTCTGTCATAGCATAGCTCGGTCATTATTCTTTGATAACTTTTAGCCAGGGGTGTGAAGTAACGAATTACAAATACTCACGTTACAGTAATTAAGTAGTTTTTATCAGTAATTGTACTTTTTTGAGTAGTTAAAAAATTGTGTACTTTTACTTTTACTTGAGTACATTTTAAGTAATGTATCGGTACTTTTACTCCACTATTTTCCTCCGTTTGTAGTCGTTACATGCTTATTTTAATTTTATTTTTATCCATCAACCTGATTGGATAGAGAGTAATAGGTCTCGTGACTTTCGTCAAATCAAATTGTGCATATACAATTTTAACCGCCAACTGTTTATCATGGCTGCTGGAAGTGCATTCTTCAAGCATCAATTCAGTCGCATCTTCCTCCAACTTGATATGTTAAGGTAAATTTCGGATTTCTCCTTACTAAATGATTTGTATATATGCTTGCCTATCTACACGGCCTGAAATTTGGTGCGAGTTGTGGGGCGACAACAGCATGCTGTCTCAGTGGCCTTACACATGATTTTAAATCTATTTTTTCAAACTTTATGATTTAAATGGGGATGATTGTACTGAGAATAACTTTCATCTTTTCTTCAGCTGATTACTGTTTCCGTGCTGTTTTGATGTATTTTAAAGAGTTGGCAGTCAAAATTAAAACTGCTGGATAATATATATTCTTCATTCTTTATGACAAACAAGATAATGTGAATTACAGAATGTACAACGTTTTTAAAATGTATCAATTGCGGTGTACAGTGTTTATTATGATGGGGTAGAATCCACAGCTCAGTACTCACTACTCAATACTCATGAGTACTTTTAAATAGGCTACTCTTTTACTCTACTCACACTACATTTTTTGGAAGGTAATGGTACTTTTACTTGAGTATATTTTTTCAGTACTCTTTCCACCACTGCTTTTAGCATATTTTATGTAAGGGTGCACAATGTATCACTACCATATTGATTGTTGGCTATCGGACAATGGATTTATTTATTGATATCAGTATGGCTATTGTGGTTATTGAAATAAACTAAAAGCTAAAATAAAATAATATTAGATGAAAAAAATACACAAACTAGAAATGTTGCCTTTGAAACTGAATTATTATAATAGTATTTTAATTATAATTATTATAATTGTCACAATCCGCTGGAGCACGGGCACGAAGAAACGAGGAGACGTGGAGATTTCACAAAAACGAGAGTCTTTTATAGTCCAACAGGGAGTCCAAGAGCACAAGGAAGACGTTTACAACAAGTAGACCCGACAAAACCAAACTGAACAGACTGGGGCTTATAAACACAGGGCAATCAGGGGAACACAGGTGCATGGAATCATAAAGTAATCAAACTAAACAAGAACAGGAAAAAGACCATAAAAGGAAACACAGGAAGAACTACGGAGGCAAAACG